GCGCACGGGACCAGGGGGCCAGGGGACAGCCCCGCCCAGCACCCACATGATCCCCTGGAGGGTGTGGGTGCCCTTCTCCCCTCCGTCCTTCCTGTGCTGGGGCCCTGGATGCACTATTTGCTCACCTTGCAGAGCTTTGGTGTCCCCACCTGTAAACTGGGGCTAATGGGACGTACCTCATAGGGCTTTTGCAAGGTCTGAACAGCAGAGGCAGTACAGTGCCCGCACGGATGGGGTGCTTGATGAAGAGAAGCTAGCCAGGACCCCGGAATCCACAGTGCTTACCAGAGGAGCACACATGGGGGCCACAGAACTGGACCCGAGAAAGCCAGCCTTTGCCTCCCCCAGCGGACAGAAAGCAGGTGGAGGGGGAGACCGCTGGGTGGAGTGGCTGCACCCCGGTTCCCGAAGCCCATGCACTGGATGCTGTCTAGCCTGTACCCCAGCCAGCCCTCTGACAACTGAGTACCCCAGCAGGCATTGGCACCATGTCCCAGAACAAGGATGCCGAGGTGAGGGGGCACGATGGGAGCAGTGGGCGCCCCCTCCACCACCCAGCCCCTCTCGGTTACACAGCTGGAGAACCAGGTCCAAAGTGAAAGAGATCAATGATCAGAGGTCTGCTGGCCAGAGGCCACCACGACCCCCGCACAATGGATGCCGAACAGTATTTAGAAAGATCATCAGTAGCTTTATTTATTGACACAAAAATGCATGATTAAATTTTAAAAATCAGACTACAAAAACCATAGAAGAGCCACATCCCAGTCTGCTGGTCACGATGACCTCTGGTTGGTGGAACCAGGGGGAGCCTTCACTTAAAAATAGCATGCCGGCCAGCCGGGCGGGGCTCAGTGGTTGGGCATCGACCTTTGATCCAGGAGATCTCAGTTCGATTCCCAGTCAGGGTGCATTCCCGGGTTGGGGGCTCGATCCCTAGTCGGGGGCGTGCAGGAGGCAGCCGATCAATGACGACTCTCCCATCACTGATGTTTCAACTCTCTCTCCCTCTCCCTTCCTCTCTCTAAAATCAATAAAGATATGTTAAAAAAAAACAAAAAACAGCTTGACGCACAGTCTAAGTTTTTAGAAATATTCTCAACACATATTATTTTTACAACCAGGGAGTGGAAAACCTTCACCAGGATTTCTCCTGGGAAATTCGGCAGCAAACCACAAAGACAAAACAACATATAGTCTGCCTGCCGTCCACTGGGCCTGATTCTGCAGACCTGGCTGATGGCTCTTCTCCTCCCTGTCATCTCCCCCACCAGTGGGGTCACAGCTGGCGGAGGAAGCTTCAACCCTCTCAGTCACATTCTATTAGAGCACTGTGGCATTTCCTCAGACACTGTCTCTAATGCTTGGCCCCCCCAGACAAGTTCTGCCTGGGTCAAGTTCACTCCTCTTGACCTGTTCAATTCTGGGTGCTCATCTAAGTCCCAGCTCCAACTCTGGAAAGGCCACCCTCACCAGGGGGAGCTAGGCCCTGGTTTACAGGAACAGCAGGCAGGAGGGCACACCTTCCACAGGGTTCCTGACAGAGGGCCCCCACAGAGGGTCTGGAGGGGAAAGACAGCCCCCAGGGAGGAGAGTTGTTTTTAAATCCACCGCCATTACCCACAACCATCCAAGTAACCGCTACCAAATCTAAACAGAGTCCAAAGACATGAAAATTTTGGAGCTCAAAGATCTCTGCATCAATTCATAGAAACCGAGAGTGGAACAGAGGTTCTCAGGGCTGGGACGCGGTGGGGAGTGCGTGTCTGATGGGGACAGAAGCTCAGTTTGGGAAGATGAGACGGTCTGTGAATGGATGGTGGTGATGGCCGCACAGCAATGTGAATGTGCTTACTGCCACTGAACTGGACTCTAAAAACAGTTAAAATGTTAAATCTTGTTATTTATACTTTACCACAATAATAAAAGAATGCAGAGCTGTTATGAAGAAGAGCGAGAGCTGCATGAAGGAGTGGTTTCCAAGATCTATTATTCAGTGAAAAACCAAAGCACATATGAAAAGCAGGTAGAAGAAAATACCCATGGATGTGCTCCTCTGCAAGAGACCTGCAGAAAGGACAAAGGAGACTGGTGACTGGTGACGGGGAGAGGGGGGTGGAGGAGGGAAGGGGAGGGGCTTTTAGAGCTGACTCAGAACCCCTTTTACAGAGCTGACTCAGAACCACAGAAAACTTCACATGCTGAAAAAACAAAGAAATAAACCAAACAGGATGTGGGGTGAATGTAAAGAATGTTACTGGTGACAAATGCAGACCCTACTGCATTACATGTGAGTGACAGGCCACATTGGATGCGGCAAGAGGCAAGGAACACTCCTGAGAACCTGGGAAAGTGGTATTTTGACTGGATGCTGTGAGGCTAAGACAAAGAGCGGCACAAGTATCTTCCAGGTTTGTCTGTCATAGCGCAGTGGGCTAGTGACTCTGAAACTGCCTCACACATCCCCTAGGACTAAACAAATCAGCAAATGTACTGTGGATGGCAGGGCCAGGCTGTTCGCTGTTGGAGGGAGAAGTCACCGTCAGGAAGGGGCAGGCTATGAGGAACCCTGTGATGCTGGGCTGGAATCGGAGTGTCAGTATGAGCTCGTTTTCAATGTACACACACACGGGTAATATGGAAATAAATACAGGTGTGTGTGGTACATGGATCCATATCCTACTCTGTCCAGGAGAGGGCCTAGAGGTGGGGACACCCCAGTAGCAACGAGCACACCTAATGCCCAGGTCTTGGTTTCTAAATGCTACTCTCCCACACAAGGAACCAGGTTTCCTTGGAGATGCTTGATTCCAGGGCTGGGGCAGGGGAAACACCAGATGACCTTGGCATGTCCTGTAGTGACTGAAAGTAAGAAAGTGCTCAAAATAGGAAGGGGCAGGTAGAAAGGGCACAGGAACTGATCTGAAAGAATGGGCCACACCTGGAACAATCTGAAATCCACTACAGAAGCTCAAGATCCATGCCATAAGAAACATCTGAATGAATGAATGAATGAACGAACAAGTGGGAGAAGGGACAGGTCTTTCTCATAGCAGAGCTCCCGTCAACCGCAGAAGGAACGAAGGAAACAGAAAACCATCACCGGGCAGGCGTCGGTGTTAAGTGCTATGAGATCCCTAATGGGTGCTAAAACTGGTGGGCAGCCTGACGAGAAATGGGGTACCTGAAGACTCTTAAACTGTCTCCCCACAAGCTGTTTCTTACCTAGAAAGGGAACAGTGACTTCACAGCAGGGAAACCTGGCAGGCACCGCCTTAACCCATCGGTCAAGGTTAACCTCAGCAGCGAGAAGACAGGATACCATGTGTCCCTGAAATGCTACAGTGAGGAGGACACAGTATCATCTCTGTGGTTTTCTGGCCGAAAAAACACCAGACAAACCCAAGCTGATGGATATTCTACCAAATACCCGGCCAGTGACACTTTTGCTCCTCAAAAGTGTCAAGGTCAGGAAAGGCCAGGAGAGACTGAAAACAGGCACAGGCTGAAGGCTAGGGAGGCATGACAGTGGAGCCTGGGGGCTCTGCACGGAACCCTGAAACGACCAGTGAGGACACTGAGGCGACCCTGAGGTCCCAGGTGGAACAGCTGCACTACGTCCCTCACCCGTTTTGATGAGCGCACTATGGGGACACAGGAGGTGTCATTATGGGAAGCTGTAAGATGAGAATACTTTTGCCCTTGGGGGTGAGGGGGCTTCAACTGTAGGAAATGAACCATGTGGCAGAGAGAACACCCAGGGAGATGAGGTCCTGCTGTGAGTGGAAACTAACCCTGTGCTCACACTTCATCTCTGCCCAGTGGGTTCTTTCTTTTTTTTTTTTACTTTTCACCCAAGGATATTTTTTCCATTGCTTTTCAGAGAGTAAAAGGGAGAAAGAGAGGGAGGGAGGGAGACATCGATGTGAGAGAGACTCATCAACTGGTTGCCTCCCGCATGCACCCAGACCAAGGCCAGGGATCTAGCCTGCAACCAAGGTACGTGTCCTTGGCTGGAATAGAATCTGGGACCCTACAGTCTGCAGGTCGACACTCTAACCACTGAGCCAAACCAGCCAGGGCTCTGCTCGGTGGTTTCGAATTCCAGGAAATAGTTGCGGGGCATTCATTCAATGAAGCCTGAGAGCACAGCAGCAGCCAGGATCCGTTCAGGGACGGGTCACTGGGATGGTGCTGCTGCCCAGGCCTCCTGGCACCTGCAGCCCCACCCAGCCATCCCACTCACCTTCGGAGGAGGGTCTGCTGCAGGCTCTTGCAGGTGGCAAGGGATTCCCCGGTGAACATGTGGCACACGACAACGTGCAGGCAGCGGGCCATGAAGGCCAGCACAGCCTCGGGCTGGAGGGTGCCACTGCGGGAGACCAAGCACAGGCGCTGCAGCATGGAGCACTGGCTCAGCGCCTGGAAGAACTGGGCGTTGGCGCTGAAGTAGGGCTGCTCCAGCCTGTGGGGAGAGAGGGTGGTGTGAGTCCCGTGGGAACACCTGCCTTGTGCTGTTGGTGGACCAGACAGATGCGCTGTGAGCGGGGCCTCCTGGTTTAGGGCCCCCAAGCATAGTAGGGACCCAGCCTCCCCAGCAAGCTACCGACCCTGATACCAGGCACAGGACAGTGAGTGCTGGCCAGGCTACAGCCCCAGTTGTGGGGACACTGCCACAGGTCGGGGTGACACTGTTCTCTTCCCTCAACGTTTTGAATGTCCGTCCCAGAGTCCAGCCAAGCAAATCCAGCTATCTACACTGCGCCCCACCCCCAAGGCCCAGGCACTGTGCAAATCACTCCCTGTAAAAACAGTGTCAGACCTGGGACAGTGTCTCTCCAGGCAATGGCCCTGCCCACAGAGCAGACACCCCCTCACCCTCCACCTGGGGGTGGGTCAGGGCAATACCTTCATCTGCATGCAACACCCCCAAGGAACCCCACTGGGCCTGTTTCAGCATAAGCCGACAAGGCCAGGCTGATGACACCTTGGGATGCCCCTGAAATGTGGTCTGCAGCTCTGAGCTCTCTTCATAAAAGGAGCGGAGCTCCCAGGATGAGCAAGAAATGCCCACCCCCACCCCCAGAAGGCAGTGGGTCTGGGCTGGGGACAGTGTCCCGTCCAGGGCCCCCCAAGTCCCCAGGTGGAGGTAGAGCCCCGGAGCTCTGAATGCAGTGACACAAGGAGAGAGGCTAACCCAACCAGGATGCAGGTAAGGAAGGCGCGGTCAACGGGCGCCCCTCCAGTCCCCAAACCCAAACGAGAACTGCAGAGGTCTCGCACTGCAGTCTCCATCTCCCAACACCCGGGGACACGCATGAGTCACACATCAAGGGTAGGGAGGGGTTAAAGTTGGATCTGTGAGAACAGAGGCAGAACTTGGTCATCCAAAGGCCTCCCACAGGAGCTCCTGCCTTGCTGGACTGTCTAACTCTGAGCCACCCTGCCCGGGAGCCACCAGTCAGTGGAATGCCACCAGTGAGACTGGGTTTGAATTTTGTCTTAGTAAAATGTAAGCAGAGATTCTAGTAAGTTCCTGACACTAAGACTGTGGGGGAAAGCACGAGTCCTTTTGGGGTGCAATTTTGAAAAGCCTCGTGTCCCCTCACAGCCAACACTCCCAGGTGTGTAGGAAGGAAGCCCAACAGGGCTGCCCAGGCATGGTCAGCAGGGAGAGAACCGCCCAGGCAGCCACTGCCATCAGTGACACATATCACACATGGAGCCTGACCCTGGACTCCAGTGAATGAGTTTCATGCTGAAAACACTGGGAATTCAGAGTCGTGAGCAGAGAGCAGAGTCTCTGAGATGCAAACCCATGCCAACAAAGGGGAAGGTGGTGACCTAGGTCTACAGAGCCCAGAGAGTAAGCGAGTATTGTCCCCACTTTGGCTGTGAGGTTGTTCCCTCAAGAAAATGCCTGAACACACTATTTGGTTCTTTTAAAAACAAACTTTGAAAAACCCCTAAAGTAAGCATCTCTCCGCAGACCCGAGAGCGGAACATCGTAGGGGTCAACATTCCAGAGCGGGTGCTGCCGAGCTGCAAGGTGATCTGACTCTAGGCTGCAATGGAGCAGGGCTGAGAGGGGTTGGAGCAGGATTGGAGCAGGCCAGCAGGAAGGGACAGGCTAGTGCCTTGGTCACTAGGTGGCAGTGCAGGTCTGCACTATCCTCAAAGACCTTACTCCAACCTCCTGGGTTACAAACCAAGTAGTAGGCAGGGAGTGAGACTGTGTTGTGTACAAACACATTTTAAAATATGTTTTCAACTAGCTAGCCACTTCCAGATTCCCCACCCTGAAGGAAGCCACCAGTCAGAGGTGTTCAGGGTGGGGCAGGCCTAGTGGGAGTGCCCTGGGTGCGCTGCCAGAGCGGACGTGATGTGAGTGACCTGCAGGGTCTGTGGTTTGGGCAGAGGATGAGGCAAAGGTACGCCCATGAGTGGCCTTGCCTTGGGGGGGCCTGTGGCCCTTCTCCCTCCCAGCCATGCCTCAGCCTGGCCTCCAACACACCCCTGGAGACATGGCTCGCTCTCTGAGGTTCTGTGGGAAAAGACAGGGTGCGGGCTGCCGCCTCTCATCTGCCCACCCAGCTCTCAGGCAACCCTGCAGAGCCCAGGCCTCCAGGGCGATCTCAGGACAGCTTCCAGGGCCTGGCTCCAAAAGGCTCTCTCACTTCCGCCCAGACACTTCCCAGATTCCAGGTCACGGCAGCCTAGGGTGACTCAGGGTAATGCCCCCGCCGCCCCAAGGCAGGGCTTAATCAGTCTCAGGAAAGAAGGTGCCTTCTCTAATTTGCAAACCTCTCGCTGCTGCAGTGCGCACAGAGCCCGTGAGGCCCCAGCAGAACGACAGGGTCCCCACACCTCCCCCACAGGAGCTGTCCTGGCTGCACAGAGGCAGCTCCCAGCCCAGGGCCCCGGCTGGCACAAAGCTGGAATTCATGGGCTTCACTGGTGGAGGCAGTGGTGGCAGCGGCCTGGGATCCCAAGGGCTGCCACCTCAGGAATCTGCTCGGGGAAGTGCAGGAGCTGCCCACATGCCAGCCTCTGCTGAGCGCAGAACACCATCTCCTTTCTGCGTCCTGCCCACACAGTGGGCGCCACCTGCTCCTCTCACTCCAGCCTCCCGCAGAAGGCAAGGATCCAGAGGAACGGGGCCACTTGGCCGCGTTCAGGAAAAACCGGCGTTTGTTCTGAACAGGCAGTACCGGCCGATCAGACGTGGCTCTCGGCAGCCGGTGTGCACAGAGAGGCCATTATAAGCTGCAGCCAGGTTCTCAGGAAGCCTACAAAACCCATCTATACGAGTCCCGCAAGCCTCCCAGCCACATAACTCAGGCCACGTGCACAACCCTGCTCCTGGGGAAGACCTCAGCCACCAGGATCACATCCAAGCCCCGGAAGCCACTAGGTGACCACTAAATGTGCTGCATTACCCTGCTCAATGCCCAATGGTCAAGGAGGAAGAAACATTCCCAACTGCCCACAGAGCAGTTATATCACCAGGGCAAGTTCATTAACCTTCTGGGCCTCACTTTACTCATCTGCAAAATGGATCAATAGCCCCAGTCCGGTGGCTCATTCATCAAAAGGTTGCGTGTTCAATTCCAGTCAAGGCACATACCTAGGTTGCAGGTTCGATCCCCAGTTGGGGTGCTTTAGGGAGGCAACCGATCATAGTTCTCTCTTACAATAATGCTCTGGTCGTAAAGCAGGCAGGGGGAGAGACAGCGGCTTTCATTATCTGCCTTTGAGTACTCTGACTTTTTAAATTACCTGAATGCATTACTTTGCTTTCATTGACTTCTCTTTTTATCAAAGTCTCCCGATGACGGCAAAAAGGTTTGACTGCAGTACAGCTAGAAAAGGTGTGAAGTCTAACAGGTTGGCAATAAGCAAAAAAGCCATAATGGCAATAGTGACAGACCCAGAAGTCCAGAAACCCCTTGGCTCAGAGCTCAGTTAATTAGAACTTGAATGCTCACTGGGCTCCCCAAATTACAGAATACTCCAGTCCTGATCACGAAACTCCCCCGGGGTAACAGGAGCGCGGACCTGGCAGTGTTTCTTTTGTGAAGTGTGTCCTGGATCCATTTGCAGCTTCAAGTTACACATGGCCCTCTGACCACATACTCACTCCTCCCTCCGGAGGGGCCAGCGATGTGACGGTGAAGGCACAGGAAGAGACGGGGGAAGAGCACTAGAGATGAACCAGTAAAGAGAGTGGGAGCTGGTTCCTGGTGGCTGCTGGGAAGGAAGGGTGAGAAGGCAGGCATCCATACCCCCCAAAAGTCAAAAGCCTAGGCCTGTCCTGAGAAGAGGCAGTGAAGGGGGCGGTGAAGGCTGTGATCAGAGCCCCTCCTCCACTCCTGCAGGCAGGTGATGCCCCTTGCCAACATGGCAGGAGAGAGCCCAAGCCAGAGAAATGTACACAAGGATCTGACTCGGGCCATGAGGCAGAGGTGAGCAGGGGGAGGGACACAGAGCAGAATCAGGAAGTGAAGAGCTAGCCCGCAGTTCTCGCCCGTTGGGCACCCCTGCACCTGGAGCAGGAAGGAGGGTCCCAAAGGGTCCTGGAATGGGAACAGCAGCTCTGCCTGCCACACGTTTTCAACTCTCGTCTCGTCCCATCCCGTCCCGTCCCATCCCGTCTCCTAGTGAGCTCCAAAGGTGGCTGAGGGCCACACCAGAGCGCAGCGCCTGTGGACACCAGGCTACAGTACACGTGGCTTGCGTATTTAAGAAGCCAGCCTCACGGTCTGCATTAAGTCGACCTTGACTCAGACTTCTAAACCAGCATTCTGAGAACGGCATTAAGGTTCTCAAAGCAAGTGTGGCTGGGATGCACAGGACACAGCATAAATGAGCATCTCCCACCCCAGGCGTGGGCTCCACAGACACTCAGGCTGAGAACCAAAGCTGCAAATCCAGAGCATGCTGACCCAACACGGCAGGAAAACACCGAGGCTCATAGGACCTGCTCTGCCCTTTGGAAGGCCAGGGTCGTGCTTGCTGGGCTTGGAGGGGGAGGTGGGCGGGGTGGGGGGAGTAGCATGCAGCTGGCAGAGAAGCTCTGGAAGACTCCAGCTCAAATCTGGCTCACTTCCTGTCACGGGAAAGTGGGAGAGTGAAGGTCTGCAAAGGATACACTTGTCTCCATTTTCCATGACTCAAGGGCCAAGGTCAAGTTCCGGAGCTAGACTGACCCAGGTAAATTGTGAATCTCAGCTCCTCCCTCCAGCCCCACATCCTCCACAGTGGAATGGGAAGGACGTTGTGGGAATTAACCCAGACAGTGCCTGAAAGCCCTTGGCTCTGGCCCTAGGCACAAAGTGAGCACTAACTGTCTTGGGGAAAATGAAACACGTCTCAGTGCCCCTCTGGCTACGGCCTCTCAGAGAGACCAGCTAAGTGGCCTAAGACCTGCAGCCATGTCCTTCCCAACCCAAAGCTCTCCAAGAGCAGAGGTCTGCTGCCAGCACTACATTTTGGGTAGTTTCTGGGAAATTATACAATTTTTCAAGATAAGACCTGTTAAGGTTTTCAAATACGTCTCAAATTAACAAAGGCTTACCCTTGAAATGCTGGGCCCCTGCGAGAACACCCTTCAGTCCACGGCATGATTCAGTGGTATCCACGCTGTGCCATGACAAGAGCCTGAGCTGGGTTCTCCGAGGCTGTGGATTCTACCTCCTCTCACTCTGGGATCGGCCCTGCCATCCTGGCCCAGAGGGGACCACCGTCACCTCTCAGTAGTGTGCAGTTCCCCCTTCTGAGCCCACCAGTCTATCTCCCCAATCCTTGCCCCTGCAGCCCAGGTGGGATGCAAAGGAACCTTTCTGAACTGGAAATTGGACCCCTCCCTATGCCGACTGAAGGCTATGTACTCAGCAGCACCCATGGTGCAATCAGACAGCCATAGTCACGAGGACGAGGCGGGAGCTCAATCATCACCACCACCTCACAGCGGCCCCACTCTGCCAACTACAGCTCTCCCGGCCCCTGCACTGCCCTGAGCCCTGTCACTACACACAGTCCCTGGTCAAGCCCCCACCCAGAACTCTCAGCTCCTGGAGGGCAGGCCTGCATCTGGTTCGTCTGGGTAGGTACACAGTAGGTATGCAAATGCTTGCCAACACAAGGCCCTGCTACTCGCCTCCCCTCTGCCGCCTCCGGGCCTCCAGGGTGCAGCCAGGGCCACGGAGGGGCTGTGGGCCCCTCACCTGAGGTCCTTTAGCCGCTGGCAGTGCTTCAGCATGTCCGACAGGGCAGACATGTAGACCACCTTCCCCATCATGCCCAGGTTGGCCAGTGAGAGGGACTGGAGCTGCTGGCACTGCAGGCCGATGCTGACCAAGCCAGAGCCTGTCAGAATGCTGGGCAGCTGGGCCAGTGTCAGGTGCCTCAGGAAGGTCAGCTGGCCAATGGCAGCCACCTCTGAGTCCCCGACATTCTGCGCACGGCTGCAGGGCGGGAGAGAGTTGCGGATTGCAGGCTCATTGCGTGGCATGGCAGAGGAAAAGTTGGACCCAATCAGCTCAAGGCGTTCCAGAAAGGGCAGGTTCTTCAGCAAAGACCAGAACACAGAGGAGGGCTGGGGGCCTGCCTGCCCCGAGAAGGGGCTGGGACAGGACTGCACGCCAATGCGGACCTTCTTGCCGAAGCCGCAGGGCACAGCATGCATGGCGGGCTGGGCGGGCTTGCAGTCGGCCCGTGGTGCCGAGTCGGCCACGGAGCAGACGGGCAGGGACAGGGAGCGCAGGTGGCGCAGCCGGGCCAGCAGCTGGCACAGGTGCCTGCCTGGGCCCTCGGAACTGTGGTGGTGGGCGGCCGAGAGGTTGAGGTGCCGCAGGTTGCAGCAGGCCACTACCAGCGTCTCCAGGATGCCGCTGTCAATATCGTCCTCCGCCTTGCGCAGCAGGGAGTCTGGGGACAGGCAGTGGACGCAGCCACTGAGGTTGAGGCTGGCCAGGCTGCGGAGGTCCTTGCCTCCGTTGATGACATGCTGGATGAGGTGGCCACCGGACAGGGTGCACCTGCTGAAGCTGAAGTAGAAGGGGCTGCTGAACTTCATGTGCTGGAGCAGGGATGAGCCATTGAGCCAGGACTTGGGCAGCTGCAGGGCGTCCAGCACGACATTGCGGGCCATGGAGTCCAAGAGGTTCTTGGTGGCCCCGCTCTCGGCGAAGCTGCCAGGCACAGAGATGAGGAAGGCATGAAGGTTCTCAGGGGTGCGGTCACTGAGCACAGCCAGGTAGAGCCGCACCACCTCCTGGTTGATGTAGCCGGGCGCCAGGCGGGCGTAGAAGATGCGCAGGTTCTGGTAGTGGGGCACGTTGCTCTGGCCCACCATGAGCTGCCCTGACAGGATGGCGCCCTCCCGTGTGCGGTCCAGAATCTCGAAGTAGAGCAGCAGCTTCTCAAGGCTGGTGCAGCAGGGTACCACGCCGTATGAGGGTGTGAACAGCGTCTGCTTGAGCTCCCGCACGCGGCTCAGCGTGGCCTTGCACTCACCACTCAACTGGCTGGCGTCGAAGCCGGGGCTCACATCGAGGGCCAGGGAGCGCAGGTGCTGCAGGGCCGACAGCATCTTGGAAAGGCGCAGGGAGGTCAGGCGGCAACCCGACAAGTTCACCTTCACCAGGCCACGGCAGCGGGCCACGTGCTCGATGGTGGAGCCCGGCAGCCAGTAGCAGCCGGCCATGTTAAGCTGCTGGATATCCTGGCCGATCTCCTTCACGAGCTGCTTCACCTTGTCCTCGCTCGCCTGCAGGACGGGATGGGGACAGGAGAGGGGCTGAAGGCACCCTGGTGTCTCCCTCACTGTCACTGCTCAGGTCACCCTAGCCCTCAGGACATCAAGGCGCATGAGGACCTGCAGAAGCCCTGTCCTCCAGTGGAGGAGGGCCACTCCAGGGAAAGATGGCACCTGCTTTCCCGCCCCACACGCTTACCTTCAGCCCACAGTCAAGTCCCCAGCTGGTGGGAAGGTAAATGGTACATCCCAGGGAACTGAACACCAGGACTCAGACAGATACCTGCATACCCACATGCACAAGAGCATTACCCACAATGGTCAAGAGGTGGAAGCAAGCCAAGTGCCCACCCACAGACGACTAACAAACGGAACGGGCCTATCGTCAATGGGGTACTGCTCAGCCACAGAAAGGGCCGATGCCGATGCCTGCTGACACGGAGGAGCCCTGAGGCATCGTGCCCAGTGAAAGAAGCAAGCCACAAAAGATCACACTTAGGATTCTACTTACATGAAATATCCAAAGAGCCAATTTACAAACAGAAAGTAGAACAGAGGGTACAGGGGTTGGGGAAAAGGGGATGGGGAGCTATTGCTTAATGGATTGAGTTTCCGTTTAGGGTGATGAAAAGTTTGGAAATAGCAATGACAGCTGCACAACACTGTGAAAGTATTTAACACTACGGAACTGTACACTTGAAAAAGGTTAAGGTAGCCCTGGCCAGTGTGGCTCAGTTGGCTGGGCCTGAAACCATAAAAGTCCTAGAAGAAAACATAGGTAGTAAGTTCCTTGAAATCAGGCTTAGTGATTTTTTAAAAATATAACTTTATTGATTTCAGAGAGAGAGGAAGAAGAGGGAGAGAGAGATAGAAACATCAATGATGAGAGGGTCATTGATCGGCTGCCTTCTGCACACCCCCGACTGGAGATCAAGCCCACAACCCAGGCACGTGCCCTGACCAGGAACTGAACCTCGATCTCCTGGATCCTAGGTTGATGCTCAACCGCTGAGCCAGGCCTGGCTGCGCTTGGTGATGATTTTTTGAATTTGACACCAAAAGCAACAAAAGCAAAAACAAACAAGTGGGACTACATCCAACCAAAAAGCTTCTGCACGGCAAAGGAAACCATCAACAAAATGAAAAGATAACCTCTACTGAATGGGAGGAAATATTTGCAAGTCATATATATGACAAGAGATTAATATATAAAATATATAAAGAACTCATACAACTCAACAGCAAATAAAACAAACAATCCAATTAAAAAATGGGCAGAGGATCTAAATAGACACTTTTCCAAAGACATACAGATGGTCAACAGGTACATGTAAAGATGGTCAACATCACTAATCAGCAGAGAAATACAAACCAAAACTACAATGAGAGATCACCTCACACCTGTTAGAATGGCTATTATCAAAAAGACAAAGGTAAGTGTTGATGAGGGTGTGAAGAAAAGGGGATCCCTCATGTACTGTTGGTGGGAATGTAAATTGGGGTAGCCACTGTGGAAAACAGTATGGAGGTTCCTAAAAAAATTAAAAATGTAACTACCATGTGATTAATCAATGCCAGTTCTGGGTATTTATCCAAAGAAAACAATAACACTGATTTGAAAAGATATGATCCCCATGTTCATTGCAGTATTACTTACAATAGTCAAGATAAGGAAACAACCTGAGTATCTACCAACGGATCGAGTTAAAGAAACTGTGGTATATACATACACTCAGCAATAAGAAAGAATGAAATCTTGCCATTTGTGACACCACAGGTGGACCTCAAGGGCATTATGTTGAGTGAAATAAGTCAGAGAAAGACAAACACCATATGATCTCACTTACATGTGGAATCTAAAAAAATAAAATAAAAACCATGCTCATAGATAGAGCACAGATTGGTGGTTGCCAGAGGGAGGGAATGGAGGAAGATGAGATGAGTAAAGGTGGGTCCACCTGGTGTTGCTCAGTGGTTGTGTAAACCTATGCACCAGGAGGTCACTGGTTCAATTCAAGTTCAACGCACATGCTCAGGTTGTGGCTCAATCCCCAGACGGGAGTGGGCAGGAGGCAGTGGAACGATGCTGATGTTCCTCTCTCATCGATGTTTCTCTCGCTCTCCCTTCCTCTCTCTCTAAAAATCAACAAAAACATATTTTTTTTGGAAAATGAGTAAAGGTGGTCAAAAGGTACAAACTTCCAGTTATGAAATAAATAAGTCATGGGGCTGTAATGTACAGCATGGCAACTACTGTACTACTTACCTGAAAGTTGCTAAGCGAGTAAATCTTAAAAATTTTTGTAACTGCCTGGCCGGGCATGGCTCAGCAGTTGAGCATCGACCTAGGATCCAGGAGATCGGGGTTCGATTCCCGGTCAGGGTACATGCCTGGGTTGCGAGCTGCAGCTGGTCAATGACTCTCTCATCATTGATGTTTCTATCTCTCTCTCCCTCTCCCTTCCTCTCTCTGAAATCAATAAAGATATATTTTTAAAAAATAAATAAATTTGTAACTATGTAAGATGACAAATTCTGGTCATCATTTTGCAATGTATATAAATATCAAATTGTTACGTTTTACACCTGAAGCTAATATATAATGTTATGTATAAGATGATGACAACATAGAAGAAAAACTTATGACCTCAGGTTTCACAAAGCTTTCTTCAACAGAATACAAAAAGCATGAATTCAAAAATTCAAAAATATGCTCTTCAAGTCACAGTTCAGAAAATGAAACAGCAAGCCACAGACTATGAGAGAAAATATTCATAATACGTGTGTTTGACAAGACAAAGGATGTGTATCCAGAATATACAAAGAACTCTTGAAACTCATGAAGAAAAAGAGAAACAATGATAAATGGGCAAAAGGCTTGCAATCACTTCTGAAAAGACACACAAATGGCCCACACAGTTGATGAAAACATAATCCACAACAGCCCTCGTCAGGAAAGCGCAAGTGAAAACCACATGAGATGCCATGTCCCATCCATTAGAATGGCTAAAACTTAAAACAATGACAACATCAAGTGTTGATGAGCATGTAAAGCAACCAGACAGAGGATACCCGGCTGGTGGTGTGACAATAGTGCCTCCCCACACCACTCAGAGCCCATGTTTAACTTACCAGGAAAGTTCCCACACCTACGGTGGGGCCAGCAATTCCACTCCTGGGGGTTGACTGCAAAGTAAGTCTCCCCTTTAGCCCGAGGCCCTCCCAGAACAATGTCCTGATACCTGCACCCTCCTCCCAGGTGGCACACTCCCTGCACTTTCGGGCCCTAGCTTTTGTCACATAGATATTTTGGAGGCTGTCCCAGTCAGGACTCTGATGACTGCCTCCTGTCATGAGCTGCACAGTGCCCCCCTGCACAGATGGGCGTTTCGGTTGTTCCCCATCTCCTGCCCCTGTCCATGAGCCAGCACCCCTCGCCTGTGCCTCACCTGGTAGTCCTTCTGCAGCAGCACAGTGTGGGTGAGGCTCTTGTCCAGGCATAGCTCTGCCAGCTTCCGACAGGTGCGCCGGACATTCACAACCAAGTCTGTGCTGGGGATGTGGCTCAGGATATGCAGGAGGATCTCGTCAGAGAAGCCCAGCAGGTGGGCACTGCCCGCCATCGTGGCTGCTGCAGAGGTTGTATCACCATCACTGGACAGGTCCTGGGAATAAGGGGGCACCAAATTTCCATGGGATCTCCACTGGGAGCCCTTGGCCTGGCCTCCCCAGCTGGAGAAGCCCAGAGGGGCCCCCACCACTGTCCATGGGAAAGAACTGTAGAGCGAGAACCCAAAATTCTGAACTGCAGAGCGAGAACCCATGACATTCTCCAACCACTCTTTCCAATCTCAACACCAGGATCTCTCTCCAAAAGCAACAGATTCAAAAGGCAATTTCATTTTTTTTTTTTAATTTCAAAGATTTTTCCTGCTAAAGATCTTTGGTCAAGTCTGGCACATTTTAGACTCAACTTATGACCACTGGTCAAGGTTCTACGTTTGTGAAAGCTGCTGTCCTGTCCCTGCCTCCACCCCTGCCCCAAATGTCCAGCTGCACTGTAACCCCTGGGTAGGAGAATTCTGTCAAGAAACGACAATAACTGGGGATAATCACAGGTCTTCACCTCACAGGACTGCCGTGATGGGCAAACAAGTCAACACACACAATCTGCAGAATCGTGGGAGACAGTAACCCTTTGCAGCACTGTCATTAACAGCAAGTAAAACGAGAGGGACCGCCACTGAGAATGAAACTATAAGTCCTTACAAACAAAAACAGCACCGACTAGACTGGTGACATTGCTCAACGTCAAGATTAGTAATAAATCACAGGGACTGAACAATTTACTCCATTCATCAGGCATCTGGTTAGAAACTCGAGTTGGTATTTCCCATGAGATGCGCACACATTTCGCTGTGCTTTCATAGATACCTGCATGGGATCTCTCCCTGGATGTGGGCCGTCAATGCCTTTTTTTTTTTAATATATCTTTATTGATTTCAGAGAGAGGAAAGGAGAGGGAGAGAGAGAGATAGAAACATCAATGATGAGAGAGTCATTGATCGAGCCCGCAACCCGGGCATATGCCCTGACAGGGAATCGAACCCCGATCACCTGGATCCCAGGTCGATGCTCAACCACTGAGCCATGCCTGGCCGGGCAGTCAATGCCTTTTTAATATGCACAACCAGGAGGGAGGGTCTACACCTAGGTTAGTGTGACACGAAATCCCCACCAAAGCAAGGCCAAGGGAATTCAGACACTCTAAGGGGAGACCAAGGGGAAGGAATCCATGTCTCCCAGACACCTCCCCAAACTAGACCCTCCTGCCTCTAGAACGTCTGAGGGGTGCCTCTCTGACCACTCCTGGGAAAGTACCCAGAATTCATTCTCTCCACGGCATTTTCCAGCAGTTCTTCCCACAAGCCCCTCCTCCAGTCTGCTTTTCCTGCACATATTTTCATGGATGGAAGCGTGGAGGCTTGGAAAGCCCTGCTGCTGCCATAGCAACTGTGAAGTCTGGGAAGGAAAGCCTGTCTGCAGCCCATAGTAGGCACTGTGGGTTCCACCCTGTCCTGACAGGTCCTGCACTGCAAAGACCTCGCCAGGCCAGGAAAGGGTTTCCCGGAATATATCCACCTGCTCAACAGCTCGGCCTTCCCACGCCCTTTCTTCATAAGAGGCAGCAGCCAGACATGCCTGTGCTCTTTCCACCCAACCTGCCCTCAATCCCAGCTTCCTACTCCCACGGTTACATGGGCAGGAAGCAGCCGTCAGAACCAAGTCCACAGCTGCCCTGGGTTGCAACATTCTAGGTCCAATGTTTTGGGCCATAGTGAGTTTCCTTAGAAATGTCCCAGACCCAATCATCTGAGATCACCCAGGCACCTGTTAAAAATCAGACTCCCACCCTGGCCAGTGTGGCTCAGTGGTTGGAGCACTGGCCCAAGGACAAAAGAGTGGAGGGTTCGATTTCCGTTCAAGGGCATGTGCTTGGGTTGTGGGTTGGGGCACATACAGAAGGCAGCCAGTCAATGTGCCTCTCTCACACTGATGTTTCTCTCTCTCCTTCTCCCTCCCTTCCACTCTCTCTTAAAAAAAAAAAAAATAGAAAAAATATCATTGGGTGAGGATTAAAAAAAAATCAGATGCCCCCCCGGCCAATGTGGCTCAGTGGATTGAGCGTCGTCCCATGTTCCAAGAGGTCACTGGTTCCATTTCCAGTTACGGTGTATGCTCCGGTTCTGGGCTCGATCCCCAGTGGGGGGCATGCAGGAGGCAGCCGATCGATGTTTCTCTCTCTCCCTCTCCCTTCTTCTCTATCTAAAAATCAATTAAAAAATATTTTTAAAAAATCAGATACCCAGCCCCCACTCCAGACCTAGGGACTCCATCTCCAGGGAGAGGCTTGAACAGGGACAATCCTCAGCAAGCAAGCCTGGCAAACAGAGCTCTGGCACCAAGAGGGCCTGGGGACAAAATGAAGGGGGCCTGAAGTTTACCCCTCCTGATCCCCAATCTGCAGATTTACTAAAGTAAGAAAGCTACTGCAGAGTGAGAACATAGGGAAAAACACTGCATAAAATGTCAAATAATTTCATTATGCTAATATTAAATTTCTCTTAAAACCACCTAGATTTGGCCTGGCGGGACGTGGCTCAGCAGTTGAGCATCGACCTAGGATCCAGGTTCGATTCCTGGTCAGGGCACATGTCAGTCAGGGGTGTGCAGGAGGCAGCCAATCAATGATGACTCTCTCATCACCCATGTTTCTATCTCCCCTCCCCCCCACGCTCTCTCTGAAAAGCAATGGAAAAAATATCCTAGGGTGAGGATCATACACTTTAAAAAATGCAAGTTTTATAGTATGTGAACTATATCTCTATAAATAAACAAAAAAATTAGACCATCTGAGAAAAAGACCTCCACATCCATGGTGGAACAAGACTCCTCTCTCTCCTCAACCCAAGAGACACCCACAATGCAACAAGAGGCCTCACTGGCGAGGTTCCCAATATGTGCTTCAAGGAACAGGAGGGCCTTTGCCCCAGAACCCCATAAGACGAAGGAAGCAGTCAGCAGACACCCCTCATCCAACCCCCACCTCAAGTACACACAACTAGCCAGAATCTGCTGACACAGCCAGGTACCCTAGGCCTCTTCCTCAGGGAATTGCAGTTTTCCTGCCCTTCAATCCACCACCACACCCTCCCTCTCAACCAAGGAGCCACAGGGGCCACTTCTGAGACAAATTCACTTCAAATTTAGAGAAGCTGTCAGCTACTCCCAACCACCTTCCACATGCCCAAGTCCCATCCACCCCTGTTCCCCAGCCCCGGGCATGCCCCTGAGACACGGAAGATGCTCCCAGTCCCAAATGACAGGCAGAAGCACAGGTACACATAAAGGTAGGTGGGGAGCACCAAAAGGGAAGACACTAGTCATCGTCCAGGATTCTCCATGGCACCCAGATTTGCGGAGCATAGGGGAAGGAATTCCGGTAACTCCTAAGCCCCCGCCCCCCAGGTGAAATGGCTTTTCCTTTACTACCCACCGCCCTCCTCCCCCAAGTCACACAACAAGTAGGCTCAGAGAAAAGAGGGCTGGGCTTAAACTGAGCCCTCAGAGACGGAGGATGGGAAGCGAAGAGGTTACGGAGGGAGAACGTCTCGGAGGCCCGGGGAGAGCGCCTGGGAGGCTAGAGGCGCCGGAAACGGGGCGGCGAGGCGGGGAAGGCCGCTGGCGACCAGGAACGCGGGGCTGGGAAAAGCACGGACGCCCGAACCAGAAGACAGCGTGTGCCTTCGTGGGTCAGGGCGAAGGCCCAGAGGGTGGGAAGATCAGGATGGGAGAGACGGGGCGAGGCCGAGTTCAGGGTCGGGACGGAAAGGACCCAGCCCGGCCGACGCCAGGGTTGGGGTGGAAAGGACCAAGCGGGGCCGGGGCCCGGGCCGGGGCCGGGGCGGGAAGGCCGGAACGGAATGGGCAACGGGATGAAAGGGGCGCAGGGAACGGAGTCGGGATGGGGAAGGCCGAGCGCGCCGAGCCGCGGGGCGGCGAGCAGCGGCGCCGGCCG